ACCCTCTCCTTCAAGGTTAGGTCCGAATTCTCAACTTTTAGAAGTGAGAGCTCTCTTATTCAAGGTTGAGTCAAAATTCCAACTTTTAAAAGTGAGAGAGTCGGGTCCCTCCTGTTTGATCCTTAAAGCAAGTCTTTCATCTTTACTTGTGCGGGCCTATCCCTCATAATTTGATTTTTCTCATTTTCCTTTTTCATTTATATTCAGTTGTTCATAACAATATATGTAGTGTCATTCTGTAGCATCACATTTCAGCATGTAGTTTTTATCAAATAATTCAAATAACAAGTAATTATCTCAAGTGAACCAGTAATAGGCATCATACTTAATATAAAATAATTGCTACCACCATTACATTAAATATATAAAAATGCTCTCATTTTCTACACTAGAGGTAGGGTATCTCATCTCATTATAAATTGGTTCTTCTATAATACTTTGCCTTCATTTACTTCTGTAAACAACCTCCACCAAACTTTTCCTCATTCAACCATACTCCTTCCCTTACCTTTCTTCCATTCCTTACTAAAATCAACAACCCACCACAGCCCTTTTTCTTTGCTGAATTCAGCAACACTGTTTTCAACAACATTAATTGCAGCAATTACCGAATTTTGCAAACACTACAGCCTTTAATTGATTCCTTAACTTCTCTTCTTTTTTTACCTTACTGTTTTTTTTTTCTTGCATTTCTCCGCAGCAAGCAGCAGCCTCTGCTCCAGCACGCAGCCCCCGTCTCCCAGCTCCTGCCTGTACACGGCCTGCTCTCTATTTGACTCCAGAGAACGGGTGGGTGGAAAGAATTGGAATGGGAAGTGCTTTAGTGCTAAGATAACTTAATATAATATTATTGTACCCTAGGCATTTCACTAATATTATAATAACACGCTCTAACTCCACTAATTCCTATTGCTAGCTGCGTGATCCAACTCCCAATCATCAGTCTATTGCATGTTTATTTTAGTGGAACTGCTGCAGTAATTACAGGAATTAACAATTGCTATAATTAATAATCTGTTAACAGGAAATCATCTCTTACAGTAAACATTTAATTAAATGTTAATTAACTATTATTAAGCTATTAAATGAATAACTATATACAATTATATATCAAAATCCTAAGAATATAAAATAGAATATAATGAAATTAAATTTAACAATTTTCATATGTGGGAGAAAATAGGTAAAATTTTGGGGCAAATTATATGCTTACTTTTTGACGAACTTTTGGGTGTTATATGGAGGGCATTGATGTAGTACAAGGTTGGCCATAAAAATTACTCTCCTAATAAATAGTTTTAGTATTTGCTATGTTTCTTTTTCTTTTATTTTTCTTTGAAGGATTTTCTTTGTATCCTTAGTTTGCAAGAGGGTTTTCTATAACAAGAAGACTAGCATTTATACTTTTTTTTATCAATTGAAATTATAAGTGTTGTTTTTTTTTTTAATACTTAGAGTTATATGGAATCCTGGCCTTGATCTGCATCAAACCCAACCTCTTAATGTTTGTTATTGCACAAGTTTCCTAGGTTGAGTAGAAATTTTCTTTTTATGCTTTGTTCTTCAAGCCCATTTGCATGAGGTTAATTTGCCTTTTCAGATTTGTAAAAAATTTTAAGAAGTTGTTCTTGGCTTATTATATTTATGAATTTTGGATTTGATTTTTGATTAGTCAATTAAAGATAGGGAAAAATAAGGAGAAAGATCATGATAGGTAAGAAGTAAAGGAAAATATTAGTTTTTAAATAGCTAATTCAATTAAGTAATGGATGATTAAAATGGTATTGATATATATTAGAATTGCAAGTATTAGATGTTCTAAAAGGTAGGGACTTTCTCATTATATTTCCTTGGAAAATTTGTACTGTTTTAAAAAGTAAATTAGTGGGAACATAGTTTGCATACTGCTATTAAACTTTTTATGCAATTAGTTAAAGCATAATTCAATGTTTCCAATTTAACGAGTTCTATGAAATTTTGTTGACTTATATGAGATTCAAGCAATGAACAAAACATTCATTCACGGTGATAGTGATGCAGGACTAACATGTGTTAAATGGATGGGTTAAGAATTGCATGATTTTTTGAATAAGCAAGTAAGATTAAAACGGTTAGCAATCAAAACGACAATAGAAAACAGGAGAGGGGTGCCTACGTTTAGGCTAAGTCACTTGCCAAGCGCTTGTAATACCAAAACAAGTTAGAAACTCAATAACATGCAAAGTGAGTAGCTTCAAAAAAATTCCTAATCTAATAACAAAATCAGGAGCATAGAAAGCTAACTCAATTCCAACACTTATTAGGCTTGGCAGAGATAGACAAACAAGATCTTCGTAAATCAATCAAATCACAAGAGTGAGTTAGACTACGAAAATACGAGAGAAGGAAGATTGGTAAACCTTTATCACGGTTGGGTTGCAATCCTCCACTGAACGGTGCCAAGTTGCTCTTCTATAGCTTGGACAAGAGTATCTAGAATGCAATCCACGTATTCCTCGACGATGTTGTCAATATTCGGATTGACGTCGAATAAAGTTGAATGAAGAATGTGCACAAAACCTTGCTCGTCATAGGCAAGGCCGTAGTCAAGATTGGGATCGGCCATACATCGATCTTATTGCGTCGAAGTATTGACGAAAGTGTTCCTTTGCTGTCCTAGCAGATTTTCCTCAAGAATCTAAGTATTGGAAGATGGAGGAGGGTGGTCGGCCACAAGGGAGAAGCTTGGGAAAACTAGGCTCATATTTTGGTGGAGTTTGGGTTGAATTTAGGAGAGAATTTTGGAGGGAAGGCTGTAAATAATTTCCAAATAAAAAATTCTTGAATTGGAAAATATTTAGAGAGAATATGAGAGTAGGGGGGCAGTGGGGTTAGAGAAGAGGTTGGGATTTAATTCCAAAAGTGGAGGTATGATTTTGGAAAGGAATTAAAGGAGGTGGGGCCTTGGGAAATTCGGCCAAAGGAGAGGAAGAGGGGCTTTGAATTCCTTCCAAAAGAGCCACTTGGATTTTGGAAACAATAGGGAGAGGAGGTGAGGTTTAATGATGCAATCAAAGCTTTCTTAAATTAATAAATTAAATTTGGGAAGAAATATTTCATCCCAAGTTAATTTAAAATTCAAAATGCTATGATTTGAAAAGTTTCCAAAATTAGGATTTTTAATTTAGGTAATAATTCAAATTCAAATAGATTTGAATTTGCTCTTTAATTGCATTACCTAAATTATGAAAGCTAATTTAGGAAAGGTTTAATGGCAAGGGAGTTGGGAGGGAAACCAAGGAAGGGGCCGGCGGTAGAGTGGCTTGGCCGTGGATGGTGTGGGGGTTGGGCCTAGCCGACGGGTGGGGGATAGCTAGGATGGCTGTTTGCTAGTCTAGGGAGGGAGGAAGTGGTCGGTGGTGAAGTGACGAAAAGGAAAGGGAAAGATAAAATAACGAACCATGAACCCGACCATCTCTAAGGTTGGTGGGTGATTCAAATTCCCTCTGCAAGGGATCTTGCTCCAATCTCTCTGAAGCCCTCATAAGAACTCAAAGCATGCGAAAATTTTTTATCATTCAATCATTAACATGAAAAGAGAACAATATGGCTATATATAGCCTCGTACAAGACTCAAGAAAATAAAAAGACGACGATGCCCACTGAGCTTACATACGACCTCCTTAAGGGGTAAAAACGGAAAGACTACTAAAACAGATACGACATGACATAATAATAAAGAAAATAAATAACACGACTCAGAAATACATCGACTCAGTCGTGGCCGTAGATTGACGACCACGTCTCTGATAGACTTTCCACGCTTTGATGTCCCCATCAGATAGTGTTTGCTTCTAGCAAGCTGGTTGCAAAACTGTATATCTCTATTGATTTGCTCCTAGTCACATTGATGCTATAAGTATTGATTTGTATTGGGTCATTTGGCATGTTAAAAAAGGAATGCAAAGTGAAAGGAATATATTATAAAATATATGTAGTTTCTTTGAAATATTTGAGTTATAGTATGAAACAAATCCAAGAGATTATTTTTTGTGTTTAGTTTGAATTAAAATGAGTTCAGTGTAAATCATTAGCATTGGGTGGGGTGGAATGGTGGGTTGTGTGGGCTGCGGCGGTGGTTGGTTCCTGTTGGGTATGGTGGTGGTGTCAGCAAAAACGGTGTGTTGGTGGTGGCCAATGTCGGTGGGGTGGCAGAAGGCTGCGGTCCCTGGTGAAGCTTTAAATGCGCGGTGTATTTGAAATTTGCCCAAATCGGGCAAATTTCAAATATATTGAAAATAAACTAAAATGTGAATTTCAAATTCATAAAAAAAATCAATTTTGATAGCTTTTCATCTAACCAAACAAGAAAATTTTCAAAACGGCCTCATTCCTTTTACTTTGCATTCATTTTTCTAGAAATCAACCATCCCCTTGGTAAATCTTATTTTAGGTCAGAGGATGGCATCAGCTTTTCTCTATAGAATTGGAAATCTTAATCTGTGGTATGATTATAAGAGTTCTTGTGGATGCGATCAGATAATATCTACTAATCAAAATGTTCCTAGCTTTTGCTTTTCTAAAGTAAACATCTTCATATATTGATGGAATTTTCTTTCTTCTTTATCATCTTAATCTAATTATTCATCTCAATTTTGTTAATTTGTTATAAACTCATATGAATTGTTTTTGTTCAACATTCTATCTTTTGCCTACATCTGATATTCAAATAATTTTCAGAGGCCAAATGTTATGACAATTGTACTTCATACTTAATTAGTTATGTTTGGTTATTGAAAATCCATATAGTGCACCAACATAAGACTTTCAATCTCAGTTGATTTAGTGAAAAAATATGGTTGTAGTTAGTTGTTATTAGCTTCTAATTATGACTTTTCAAGTGATTTTAGGTTCCTAAAGCTGCTTTTGAAGTTAAAGATCTTAGGCTGGAGATGTCAAAAAGTGGAGGTTCAACTCCCGTGCTCAATATCAAGCTTTACCTTATCCCTTTACTTGTCCAAATATGGGAATCAAAGACAACTCTTGATCAGTTCAGTTTTGACCAGTGGGAATACTCAGCTAGTGCTGAAAATAGTTGTGCTCCTTTCATATGTGAAGATATGTCAGTTGCTTCTGAGTTGTCTCATGATAAGTAAGTTTCTTCTCCTGCATACTCAATGAACCTTCAATTGCTTCGATATCCCTTTCCTCCCTATTTGTTTTTTAACCCATACCGTTTTTCTTGAAGGCATGGGACATATCACCCAAGCCAGGCCTAGATGAAATGGTTTTTATCTCTTGTTTGCTAATCAAACTTATTGTACCGCTACACAATCAAACTTATTGTACCGCTACACGAAGATGCTAAAATATTCCTCATTGGATAATTCATTATAGTTTCTTTGATCCTTTCATCTGAAAACTGTAACTGGAATCATGGCAGCTTCGAGATGTGTGTTTCTCTTTTGATAGTTAGTTATGATATTAGATGCTAAAACTTTTCTTTTCCTTGAGAAACATATTGTGATCTTTTTTGTTTTGTTTTTGTGGCTTCTTTCGTGGTAACTTTTTTTCCACTTATGGAGGTATAGCCTTTTATCATTTCAGGGAACAGGGAATCCAAATCAAGAATTTGGATATGAGATGTGGAGATATCACTGTTAACTTAAGTGAAAATCTGTTTGCGAAAACCAAACTGAGATCGGATGACTTTACCGAGGCTGTTCCAAGTGGAGGTTCTAGACATGACATTGCTTCCGGTAAACTATCCCAGAACAATAAATTGTCGTCAATGTTGAAGAAGCAGATAATTTTTTTCCCAGACAAGGTTTGCGATTTATTTTTTCCATGCCAAGTCTTTTATTTCAGCTTGCAAATTCTACATGATTTAAAATAGAATTTTGAATTTACCTTAAAATTTAAAATAGTTTTGATCTTATATGGGTATCTGCAAATAATTATTACCCTAGATTTTACCTTTTCAACTCCAGGAGAGGCTTTGGGCAATGAAGTGCTGTTATTTCTTGGGTGATGTATCTAATTAGCTTTTTTGCTTGCTTTCTTTTGGAAATCTTTCCATGGCTTTGCAGATTTTCAACAAATTATGCCAAATGACTGCATGCTGAAACCTATCATTTTAATGAAAAAAGCCTTTGTGAATGTGTTGGGATTATTTATCTTGGGTCCATATCATCTTTGTGAACTGCCAGCAACTTTCTAAGCCTTTTTACTCGGAATAATTTGAACTTGGGTATTTGGTTATTTTTCATCTGGAACATAAATATTTGTCAAAGTTTTCCATTTCTATGTGAACCATTTGCAATCACTGTGTGCTAGTCTGAACAATCATATACTTTAGGATAAGTGAGAACTAAACTTTTTTTATTAGATTAGATAATGTAGTGGAATGTGGCCTTATTTATTATCTGAAATTGACAACTCTTGCTTTTGCCTTGCTGATGATATTTTTCCTGGCCATAAGTTATGGGGAACAGGTGAAGGATGAGAAGGTTGAACAGTACTATGAATTCATGATGCAGGACTACATAAGAATGCAATGTTTTTGTTAGGAATTTGCACAACTCTTAATTAGAATGACAGTGAAGAAACTATTAGCATCTTAAACATCGAAATAAAATGAGCAAGGGGTCACGCCCGCTTAGACTAAATCACATAACCAGAGATTTGAAACTTTCAAAATAAAATAGAAAACAATGTTATGCCAGAGTATTAGTTTCAATAAAAATTCCTAATATAACAGTGAGATTAGTAAACACATGAATACACTCAAAACCCTACGTTTACTAAGCTTAGCATAAGCAGGAAGAGTCGTCCGTCGTGACTACAATCAAACACAAGATAAAGATAGATTCCAGAAATATGTTGAGAGGGGAAAGTAGAACCTTTGTCAAGGATCAGTGGAGATCCTCCACTCAACGCCTTCAAACTGCTCTTCGATTGCTTCCACCAAAGTGTCCAAAATACGCTCTATGTAATCTTCAACAGTATGATCGACCCTTGTGTTAACGTCAAAGAAAGTGGATTGGAGAATGTCCACGAAACTGTCATCGTTGTAGGTTAGGCCGTATTCAGTTTCTGGATCCGCTATTCATAGATGCTAGGTGACAAATCTCTTCACGACTTGATAGTGCTCTTGAATATTGTTGAAGAGAAGAAGTTCTCTTGCAACTTGGAGGGAAAAGCCAATGACGGAAATCTGAAATAAGTTTCAGATTTTGTAAGGAGAGGAGAGGGAATTAGGAGAGAAAATATCAAATCCTAAATTCTGGTGGAGAGTTAATGAGAGAGTGAGGAGATTGGAGAGAGCTAGAGGGGCGGGTAGGGGGGATGGGGCCGGCGGCTATGAGGAGGATGGGGAGGGATTTGTGGGAAGTAAATTGAGTTTCTAAGTTTAGGTTTAGGAATTAAGAAAGGTTTGATTAGATCCAATTTAATTTGAAAATCAAATTGAATTCTAATAGGAAACTTTCCTTAAATAGATTCATACAAATAGGAAAGGATTTGAATTTTGAATTTAATTAATTTGGATTCCAAATTGATTCCAAATTAATTTGAACTAAATTAGGAGATCCAAAAGGAGGCAAGTGGAGTGGGGCCGACGGTTTAGCCAAGTATGGCCGACGGCTAGGGGTGAGAGGGAGGGAATTAAGGAGGCTTTAATGCTTCCTTAATTTTGGGGATTGGATTTAGAATGAATTAAGTCATCCTAATTAATTCAAAATCCAATGGAGGGAAAATTTGAAAACTTTCCTAAAATAGATTTTATAATTTAGGAAAGAATTTGAATTTCAAATTTGGGGAAATTTGAATTGAAAGACCAACTAAATTATGACAATCCAAAATTAGGAATTATCCAAAGTAGGCAATGGGGATGGGAGAGGGTGAGGCCAGCGGCTTGAATGGGGTGGGTAGGGGCCGGCGGCAAGGTGGAGATGGAGACGATGTGATGGTGGGTGGAAGGAAACGACTAAGGAGAAGTAAGATTGTGAAGAAAGGTGGGAGATAGGTTAAGTGAAATCAAAGATATGAAACCACGAACCCGGCCATCTCCAAGTTTGGTGGGTGATGCACCAATCTCCCTCTCCAAGGGACCTCTCTCCGATCTCTCAAGCTCTCTCAAGAACTCCAAGCAAGAAAACAAAATTCTCAAATAATCATTCGTTACCCAAAAACAATAAGCAAGGGGCTATAAATAGCCTAGTACAAGAGACTCAAAAATAAAAGACGAACATGCCCCCGGGCTTTCAAACAACATCCATTTACTAGAAGGGTACAACGGGAACTAAAATAAAATAAATACAATGACACATAAATAAATATAACATAAATCAAAAGTATAATGGCTCGATCGTAGCCGTAGATCGGCGGCCACGCCTCTGTTAAACCTTCCATGATATGATGTCCCCATCAATCCATATGCATTTTGTGTAATTCAGTCACATGCCTCTTCATGAACATTTGAATTGGGACTGTGCAGATCAGTTCAGCAGTCAGGGTTGTGTAGATATAGCATTAGTCCACTAGGAAGACGGCAAAGTTTTAGTTGCATTATCTGTTATGATCTGCATGAGAATGAAAATGAACAATAGCCACATTGAAATTGAAACAGGAGTGTCGTCCTCTATTTCATTTCCATTATGTGACATTAGAGAGCTGAATTTCATGCTGGTTGTTTCGATCTACAATCCTTAAATGGATCCATGCTGATGCCTTTGGGAAGTCCTTGGAAGTGGTTGTGGTTCACTGAATGTGCCAATAGCTCCTCCATGCCATTCGGTTTAATTATTTTGAAAAAATCAGTCTCAAACAACAACATTAGAACATTAGAAAACTCGTGAAGGGACCTAGGAGTATGTAAACTCCTTGTACTTATATGCCTCCTTTGGCATTGTGGAACTGGCAAACAATTATGCTGTGGGTTTCAATCTTCTACCTTCTTGGAAATGTTGGTGAATAGTTAATCTTCAATTACTAGATGTTCCCATGGAATGATTTTCAATTCAGTCAGTTAGTTAATTGCTGGTTTTTTAAGGTCTTACAAATTATTTACTCACATATCATTATGAAACATAGTTTAAGTGAAAATCTACAGTTAAAATGATAGATTTACTGTACAAATTATGGTGGTTCATTGGGAACTTGGTCTCAGGTGCACGCTTTTCGAATTCCTACTTGTTATGACTAGCCCATGAATGCGGCTTGTGATGCCATGTCGAGAGGAATTGGAGAATATTCGTGAGATTGCAAAGACATCCTAAAAAATATTGTGCAAAGGCTACCATACGTCAACTGAAAAGCATGGAAGAGCTTTAATTTTTGAAGCTCTTTAGGGTAATGGTTCCTTGTTTTTGGAAAAGATGGATTTCTAGAGGAAGCCTATCTTGCTCCTTTTGACAGAAAATTCGCATGATATTTGATAGCCTTCCAAACATAGGCCAACTGCCGTCAGTCTCTCATTCTCCATCAACCTATTGACAATAAAGTACATTTCCACCATGTAGATTCACTCATGTGCATCATCTCCCTCAAAAATAGACATCTTCAGTTTCCCCACTCTCAGATCTCCTCCGTCAACCTTACTTCCTCCAAAATTTCCCATTTCCCAAGGTGGTGGTTCCCCCCAAATGTGCCAATCATCCCTCCACTCGCACCCAAACCTTTCATCACCAGCCCACCTTCTCCCTTCAAATTCAACACCCCTTCGATCATATTCAACCCCTCTTCTTTCAAATTTGACCTCTTCGATCATAGTTAATTCATCACCTTTCAAATTCAGCCCCTATTCTTTCAAATCCCCCCTCCACTAATGTCCAATCCCCTCAACGCCTCTCCACATACCCTCTACCCGACTCCTCCCTAGGAATAGGCCATAGGAGCGGCATTTTTTATGTTCCTTCCGAAATCTCCACATCCTGATCTTCCCTTCGTCTGATTTGCTTAGGGTTTTCCCCATTTCATTGGCTGTCGGTGACTTCCCTTACCTCCGACAGCATTTTTTTTTTGGTTTAGCCCTCAAGAACTTTCTTCAGCATCTCCTCCAGGATGGAGAATTTCGAATCAAACTTATCATTGATGACTGAAATATATTTCTTTAAATCTGAAACTTAAAGATATGAATTTTCAGATTTATTTGTCTGATCTCCCATTCCAACACTTCTACCTTTCTTCCTGCCATGGTAATCTGGATTTAGGCTCCATTTGCAAAGATCAACAAGTTTGATGCGAATTCTAGCCTCAAATCAATAAAAAACTACAATATTGGATACATAACACAACAAAATTCAATGAGAAAAACTTCTATTTCTGCCCAGGAAATGACTCTGATACCAATTTGATGGGAAACACTTGAAGATTTCAAGTAATTCCTATCAATTTCGGAAAAACAATGAGAAAACTCTTCCAAACTCCAATGAAAATCAGAAAAACAATAGTTTTTATTGCAATAATCAAAGATACACAAGGAAAATACCAAGATATGATCGATCCTTAATTTGAGAGGAGGATATATCTCTTCCAAATATCTAGAAGCTGCTAGAGCCCAAAAAAATCTAAGAGATTTCAAATTTCAGCCAAATACCAGATGCCCTATCCCTAGGAAAACAACTATTTAATGCATACAATTAAAAAGAAAATCTGTAAACAATCCCTACATTCAAATTTCCCTCTTAACTCCCTAAAAAAATCCTTCCTAAACTGCTCGGTTGGCTCTTGCGGTTCAAAAGACATATCGAAGAGGTGGAAACCTTCTGCCAAAGTTCTCGAGGTGCGGTCTTGTATGGACCGGCTGGACCGGTCTAACAAAACGCC